AGTATCTGATGCTGTCGACTTTGGTATTTCCCTTGCCCAGGGATGGCAGACCAGTTAGGAGTCCCAAGTGACTTCCTAAATTCCCTGAGGGATTTTTTAAAGTCTCAGCATTGACTGTCTTGGGGCTACAGCAGTAGCATGGGAGGGTGTTCTTCAGGGAGCTATAGACAAAGTTGTTCCCCGTGGTCTTTTCCTCCTTTCTGGTAGATTCTCTGCTTTGTGTCCTTCAATTTCCTAGTAAACAAGGAAATGAGAAGGGAAATGAACGGAGTATTGTTGGTGTGGAAGACTTGTGCTGAAATGGACAGAACGCTCTGCTTCTGCAAGTCTGCGGAGCAGTGAAGACAACTTTCTTCACCACCTCCAGTGCATCAATCTTCACTCAGCAGAATTATTTAAGGATGTTATGGGCACTGTTAAGTGTGAACCCTGACTGTATAGAAGAAAATGGTCTGGTCAGTTGCCATGATGTTTTTGCTAGATAGTTTGCTGATAATAATCCCCCTCTTACTTGGTCCAGTTTGGGCTTATGCTAAGTGTTGCATTTAATGATACTGGTGGCATAAAGCAACAAGTGGGCCGGGATCAGTTGCATTCTGTTGGTCTGAGCACTGAGTCTGAATTGCTTATGGGAAAGCTGTTTCACTTCCACACTTCATATAAAAACAAGATACAAAACCATTACATGAAATGCCTTGTTACTTTATACAGAACAATCTGAATGCAGGGAGAGAGGAGGATACTAAATGTTATAAATTATCTGCTACTACCCACATATATCTATGTTCAATATATACAAACAACCAGTAGTAGAAGCAGAAGTATTTAAGGATGGATTCCTCAAAAAATGTAGTTCACAAATAATTGGTTTATAATCTGGGTAGCTGAAGGTCTCAAATGGATTGAAGATAAAAGCACAAAATTTCCAGCAGTTGTTACCATCCACAGTTTAAACATTGTATGTGTCATAGTGGATCATTGATCTCCCTGGTAGAAGGTCAACAGTGTCATTTCTGGGGGGGAAAGCCTGAGAAAGATATTTTGTTTTTCATTTACCTCCTCAGCCAAGAATCCTCTCCTGTTTCCAGATATTCTGAACTCAACAGCCCTTCCTCGTCAGGAAAACAACCCCAAAGTGTGCCGTGCCTCAAAGAGGCGTTGGAAGAACCTTCTTCTCAGGGTTCTACAGATAGTTTCAATGATCATTCTCTAGCTAATGTGGTTGGGGTCGACGGTGGTGCCAGGTCCCCCATGGCTACCAGCGGAGGATGGAGAGGTAGATTTCCCGGATCTATTTTGGGGGACTCCTGGAGATGTGGAGATGGAGCCTGGGGAGAACAGGGACCTCAGTGAGGTACAACGCCATAGAGCCCCCCCTCCAAAGCCTCCCTTTTCTCCAGGGGAACTGATCTCTGTAGCCTGCAGATGAGCTATAATTCCAGGGGATCCCCAGGCCCCACCTGGAGGCCGCTATTCCCTATTCCTCGGGGTCTTGAAGGCCCCTTTCTTGCCCTCCATGGCTCCTTAAATGTTCTTGGAAAGGGATCAGGCCAGGGTAATTTATTAATTAACTACTGGCTAAGGTAATTAATACATTAATTTCCAAGAATCTTTGAAGTGTGCTGTGATTGGGCCACGACTTAAAATATCCTCTGCGGCTAGGGATAGGCTAGCCAGTTATATAATCCTCCTTTTACGGGCCTGGTTATGGAGTGGGTGTGGCAGAGCAAACACAGGGATACCTGAATGTCCCTTTTAGCCTTGCCTCATTTCCATCTGGCTTCAGGCCCGGTCATGGGACAGAAACACCACTGGTTGCACAGGTGGATGAACTTCATTTGGATATGGAGACACATCTTTTCTCATTCTGAGATCTGTTTGTGGCCTTTGACGTAGTAGGCCATGATGTGCGGTTACATCATTTGTAAAGTCAGGTGCAGAGTTTCTGGCACAATCCTTTGACGGTTTGGGTCATTTTTGTTTATTCAGGTGGACTCGGAGGATTCCTCTTGGAGATGTAGAATCCCATACTTTAGACTTTAAATATGTGCTTTAAAAAGTACAGTTGCTCTGTGCTTTTTAATATATATATAGGAAGCTGTTAAATGGCTCAACTGTAGCTCTAGAGTTTGGTGTCATTGACATACCGGTGGCACCCAGCTCTTGTGTTTTTAACTTAGAAACTAAATAAACAGACATGGCTATGGCTGTCCTAAACCAATGTATGGTTGCTGTTATCAAATGGAGGGAGAAGCACATGTTGAAGCTAAATCCAGATGATTTGGAGGTCATTCTGCTCGGAAAAGTTGGTCCCATACAGGGGACTGACTTGCTTATCATGGGTGGCATTGGGCGATCACTAAGTGACCACATGAGAATCCTCGGGACTCTTTACGATCCTTCCTTACTTTTTGAGAAGCACTTTGGGGGCTGATAAGGAAAGAATGTCTCCCCTCCCCCAAGTTATATCTTGAAAACGATCCTCCTTTCTAAATTAATCTTATTTCAGCCACGCTAATCCAGGCTATCATAACTTCTTGGTTAGAATATGATAACGAGCTGTAAGTAGGGCTCCCCTTGAAGTCCACTTGGAAGATTTCACTAGTACCAAAATGTGGTAGCTCACCTGCTTATAGATTCTGGGGACACTACGTTAGTGTTGAAGGAATCATAGAATCATAGAATGTTAGAGTTGGAAGGGACCTTGCAGGACATCTAGTCCAACCCCCTGCACTCTGCAGGAGCGTAGCTGAAAGACAGCCCTACAACATACCCGAAAGATGGTCGTCCAGCCTCTGCTTAAAAATGTCCAGCGAAGGAGCATCCACCACCTCCCGATGCAGTCTGTTCCACTTCTCAACCACTCTTACAGTTAGGAATTTCTCCTGATATTTAGCCGGTAACGACTCCCTTGTTGTGTTAGCTTCCAAATTGATTTTGGATTCAGTTCTAGGTGCTGGTTCTTACCTGTAAGACCTTCACAACTGGGGTCCACATACCTGAAGGATCTTTTCTCCCGCAGTGAGCCTGGGCACTCACCTAGATCTTCGCAGCAGTCCCTGTTATTCTTTCCCTCAACTTGGATGTTACGTGCATTTTCTGTAAAGAGTCAAATGCTCTCTGTTTGAAGAACTTTGAAGTAGTCTTTCAAAGGGTTTGTGAAAAATGGCACTTCAGAGGGCTCATGCTTGCTTTTTAATGTAGTTTTGGTTTTGTCCATTGGCTGGACATTTGTCCCTGCGATCCTGATGGGACAGTTTAGATGTGTATTTTTAGGGTATGATCCTGCAAATTGGATTTCCTGTGATTTCTCAGGTTGGTTTAGGCCTTTTTGTGATATCTAACCTGCCCTGACCTGGATGGCCCAGGCCATCCCTGCCTCATCAGACCTCAGAAGCCAAGCAGCGCCATTGGGATGGGAGACCACCGAGGAAGTCCTGGGTCACTGAGTATGCAGAGGAAAGCAACGGCAAACCACTTCTGAATGTCTCTTGCCTTGAAAACCCAAGGTGGTTGACATAAGTCGGCTACAGCTTGATGCAGGAACTGGAAAGGTGGGGTGTCAAGGCTCAGGTGGGGTGTCACCTGATGCTGCCACCACTCTGGTTTTAGGATCCCTTGAGAAGGCCCAGAGCACCCTCCCAAGACCTTCAGACCTCTCTTATTTGGCCAAATAATAGGCATGAGGACCAGGCAGAGTAAACAACAAATAAAAGGTTTATTTTTACAGGAGGTCAGTCAGATATGGGAATAAACAAGGTGCAAGAACAATAGTAATAAGTGGGTGAAGAGAAAAGAAACCAAATGCCCAAATGTGACTAGACTCACAGTCCCTAGTTCACTGTCTCAGTTGGGCCAGCAGCAGCCTTCCCTCTGGCCCTGCTCTCTTGGAAGAAAGAACAGCTCTTCTCCTGTACCAGCTCTTTTATTATAAGTCCCCTTTCTCTGTGATAGGCTAAAATTGGCGCCAAAACCACTCAGGGACTTCTGGGAGTTGTAGGCCTGGCCTCCTCCCACTGCTACTCAGGCTCCCTGGGCCTGCTAGGCCTTTACTTGCGCAGCCCAGATCATGACATGGCGTATCCTTTTTTGGTGAACTAATTGTATGGTGGGTCAGCGGTGGCCATAGGGCAAGTCTTCAAGATCTGCTTAAAGCAGCCTTAGAGGTAGGGTTGCCAAGTCTGGGTTGGAAAATACCTGGAGACTTTGGGGATGGAGCCAGGAGAGGGTGCGGTTTGGGGAGGGGAGGGGCCTCAGCATAATACAATGCCATAGAGTCCACCCTTCAAAGCAGCCATTTTCTCCAGGGGAGCTGATCTCTGTCGGCTGGGGATCAGTGGTAAAAGCGGGAGATCCCCAGGCCCCACCTGGAGGCTGGCAACCCTACTTAGAGGACAGTCTGTTTTTAGGCATCTTGGGGTTAGACTAGGGAGATCTTCGAACCAAAAGTTTAAAAAAAATATTTAAGCAAACACAGCTGCATTGGTGGTGGCAGTGGAGTTTTAGGTGGGATGTGGTGTTGCCCGACACACTTCAGAAAAGGGTTCTGGTTCAGTGTCAGATAATGTGCCGTGCAAGTAGAAAGTCCCAAGTTAAGTTAAGGAATTGAAGGAAGACCTTCGTCTATCTGAGATCCTGCAGAACTGGAGCAAGCAGTGCTGAGTTAGTTACACTAATCGTCTGATTTATTTGAGGCAGCTTCATATGCTTAATTCAGGGCATGATCTGCCAGGGGAGTTGTCCTGCAGAAGTTCCAGAAGTGTAAAAAGTCCCATTTGTCCTGTGGAACCAAAACAGAAAAGTCCCAGGTACTCAAAGTCATTACTGGGGCAATGGCCACATTAGACTAGACCGGGGTGCATGTCATTGTCCTCATTATATTAAACTGTCATGGCTGTGCAAAATTTCCCCAGTGAATTGAACCTGTAGGTAACCCTGGGGGGTGCTGATAAATTCATTTTGGCTTTGGCTAAGAGTCCGTTCATTTTCTATCTTTGCAGGCCGAGGGAGAGGGGGACAAGGTAGACTCAGCCGGCGTGATGCCAGCATACGTCCTGACAGTTCCCGAGGATGCGCTGAAAGAACAGCCAACCGAGAGAGACTCCTTTGACCACGAGATGACAGTGGACAGCCAAGAGCAGGAAGTGAGAATGCACAAGGTAAGGAAGGTGGCAAGGTGGGGGAGGGGCTGTGGCTAGGGTTGCCAAGTGTTACCTTCCTCTGCAGCGGGGGACTCCCGGGCCGATCACGGAGCGCGCCACTTCCTGGTGACGTGCACGTTGGGGCGGAGTTCCCCCCGGGGCCCGATCCGACAGCGGAGGGGAATGGGCCTCTGTGGCTCAGTGGTAGAGCATCTGCTTGGCATGCAGAACTTCCCAGGTTCAATCCCTCCAATCTCCAGTTGAAAGGACCAGGCCGTGGGTGATGCAAAAGATCTCTCTCTACCTGAGACCCTGGAGGGCCGCTGCCAATCTGAGGAGACTGGACCAACTTGGATGGACCGAGGGTCTGATTCAGTCTAAGGCAGATTCACATGTTCCTGTATTCAGTAATGGACTATTGGGTTTGAACGAGGCCAGTGCCTGGAGTTTTGCTTATAGATGCAGAATTGGTACACAATTTAGTATCCCAAGAATGTTGGCTTTCATTTAAAAAAAAATTGATTTCTAGACCATACGGCTGCAAACACGGGATACTTTCTAAGCAGGGCAATGTGTACAAGGAGAAAACGACATGAGCTCATCTGAACCCTGTGCCAAGAATAGCTCAGTCCTTTGAACTCATGCTGCACATTGAGACTTGCGTGATTGTTCTTATTTTGCATAATTTTTAATTGGCATGGCTTTATTTTGGTTTCGTTGGTCGTGGGCACAGGAAAGAAGCAACACAGGGCAAAAGAATGTATTCTTGGACCTCTTAGGGCCAAAATACACATTCGGGTTTTGAACAAGTCGGGTCCGGGAATGGCGCTGGCAGAGAGAGAGATTTCCCTGTTTTCGCCGCTCTGTGTGGAGTATTTTGTGATTGTGGAGCAGCAGAAATGGGGAAACCCTGGGGTGTTTACGCATGGGAAAATGGATTGGGGAGGAAGGTGGGAGGGGCTTGGAGAGGGAGGTGGGAGGAGGCCCCCCCCAGTGTTCCAAGCCCATTTGGAGTCTCCTTTATTTCGTGAAAGCCATTCCCTGCAGCTGCTGTGTGGCTGCAGGTAACCGAGCTCATTAAAAACCCGTATGTGTAGTACGGCCCTTATTCAGCCACCAGTCTGTCTTTGGAGATCTCAGGAGCCATTGCCCATACTCTTCTGCGCACATTCTTAGCCAGAAAGGTGGACTGTAAATGAAGCAGGTAAATAAATTTCATTGTATCCCCTAAGGACTAAGAACTTGCTGATTTTGAAAAGTGCTATTTTTTTAAATGACAGCCCGACCTCGTGTCCATATTTTGCCCTCCATGAAACTAAATTATATATGCCGCTCAGTGAGCAGGCCTCATGCTTTTCTGTGGTGTGGGGTCTCAAGGGAACCAGGTTCCTGGCTTTATTCTCATCCTGAGGCAATTTAATGGGATAATGTTGGGACGGGGAGGGTGAACCGTAGACCTCCTGCCTTCCTTTCTCTGGATTATTCGTTACCTGGGACTAATGCTCCCTCTAAGGTATGGAGTCTTGTGAGCAAAAATTCTACGTTGTGAGCTACTGGCTTTAAAATTGTGAGTGAGCCATTTGGCTGCTGCATAAATTAGTTTGCTCCTTCCTGAGCTGAGACAAAAATCCGTGAGCTGGAAGGTAAAAAACTGTGAGCTAGCTCACACTAACTCAGCTTAGAGGGAGCACTACTTGGAACCTTCGGGTTTATCTTACTCTGACTCTGTTCAGACATCAATCCAGAACCCGTGTTCAGGCTAAAGGAAACCCTTCTTTACTCAATGAGTAATTAAATTGTGGAATTCACTGCTGGTGGTGGCAGTTTTGGCCAAGGGGTTTAGACGGATTCTTGGAGGAGAGGTCCATCAATGGCTACTAGTCATGGTAACGAATGGGAACCGCCACATTCGGAGGCAGGAAATTTCTAAAGCCCAATGCTAGGAGGCGACATCCGGGGAAGGCCTTGTCCTCTGTGTCCTCTTTGTTGGCCCTCTAGAGTGGGTGTCCCCAGCCTTTTCTTGAGCTTGTGGGCAACTTTGGAATTCTGATGTGGGGTGGTGGGCACAATCTCAAAATGGCTGCCACAGGAAGTGGAGGCAGACACACAGAGGAAGTGCAAGTTCTGGGGAGAAGAGCGGGAATTTTGGAAAGCGGAGTGAGAGAGAATAAAACCAACACTGTGGTGGCAGCTGCTGCCAGAACGTTATTTTAATCTGCACAGCCAGTCAGATCTGCAGTGGCCAATTGGTAGCCCTGCTGGGGAGGAGCTTTGCCTGACCCCACCCACTTTCTAGAAACAACTGGTGGGCATGCGGAAAGGTGTTGGTTGGCGCCGCAGCACCCATGGGCACCACATTGAGAACCCCTTCTCCAGGAAATTTAACTTGTTTGAAACTATGTCTGAAGTTGACAATCCGTGAACAAAAGAACATAAGAGAAGCCATGTTGGATCCAGCCAGCGGCCCGTCTGGTCCAACACTCTGTGTCACACAGTGGCCAGAACCATCAGGAGGTCCACCAGCGGGGCCAGAACTCCAGAAGCCCTCCCAGAATACAGAGCATTACTGTCCCAGACATAGTATTCCCTCTATAAAAAGGTAAAGGTTCCCTTGCTCGAAAGCCAGTCGAATCCGACTCTAGGGTTGCGGTGCTCATCTCTGTTTCAAAGCCGAAGAGCCAGCGCTGTCCGAAGACGTTTCCGTGGTCATGTGGCCGGCATGACTAAACACCAAGGTGCACGGAACGCTGTTCCCTTCCCACTGAAGTGGTACCTATTTATCTACTTGCAATGTCTTGCTTTCGAACTGCTAGGTTGGCAGGAGCTGGGACTAGAGACGGGAGCTCACTCCGTCATGCGGCAACCCTGGTCTTGAGCTGCTGAACTACCGACCTTCCACAGCCTGCAGTTCAGCGTCTTAACCACTTGAGCCACTGCAGCTCCGTCTATATTCCCTCTATACCTCATGGCTAATAGCCACTGATGGATCTCTGCTCCATATCTTTATCCATGTGTTTATCCATTGTGTGCCAAAACAAATAGAGTTTGCAAGACATGGTTTGCCCTGTTAGTAGTTTGGCATGACAGCTGAATTGATAAGCAGGGGCTACAGATGTTTCTCTGCTCCAGAGGCTGTATGGCTAAGCAGATGGTAAGGGAAGGCAAGTCAGGCAAGACTGGCTTGCCAGTTCATTTGCAAATGACGGTTTGGAGCCTCATGGGTAGCCAATGAACGATTGGGCGTAATGTCTGAGCAGAGCCGCTGTGAGGGTGGTCAGGGATTGTAACCCAGTGAATTAGAACCGCCCTCCCCAGTTCCATAGATCTCTTTCTAACATGTCTTCCACCTTCCCCCCCCTTTACAGCTGATGTTGTTGAACCTGGTTTGCTGTTCGTTGGTAGAAGGTTCCACATTTGGGAGCTCTGCAGGACAGATGCAAGAGGCTCTGGAAAGAGTGTGTGAGAAGCTATAAGAGTGTGTGAGAAGCTAGCAGAGTGTGAACCTGAATTCATCCTCAAGGTACAGAAGGGATGCTGGGAGGCAGGGTTGGTTCCAAACCCCCCCAGTGGAAGAGGGAGGCATTGTGGGTAACTTGGGACGATGGGCCCGTGTAGACCTGAGGGATGTGTCAAACTTGCATATTCTCTCAGCACTTTTTTTGTTTTTTGCTAAATGCATGGCTGATTTTCTTCCAACTGTTAGCAGTTGTGTTTCAGATATTTATAAACAAGTCTTTGTCTAAGATGAGCTCCTTTGTGTAGTCTATTGACTATTGTATGGTAGCTCAAGAGAGCATTTTATGAAGGGATAATTTTGTGGATGCTCTTTATTGCACAGATGCTCAGAAGGTTTGTTCTCTGATTTTGAAAGTTACCCCTCTTATGAACATTTTGAAAAAAAACCCTTTTGGTCTGGCAATAGAGAAGACCCACACTGCAGGTTGAAATTAGGGTTTGTTGTCTTTCTTATCACTATTTCTGCCTCTGTCAGCTGTTTGACAAGGCTTCTGAGTACTGGTCCCTTAAAAAATCTTGTTATATCCGGAACTGGGAAGCTGTTGCCGGTGGGGGGGGGGGGGGGCCATTTCATGTAACGGGTTCTTCTTTCTACTTGCATTTCAAAGTAGTTCGTTGTGGGAATCTTTCTTCTGTTTTGTGACCCAGAGGGCTAGGAACAAACTTTGATAAAAGATGGACTCCTTGTTTAAAGCAGATGTTTTAGGGGTGGTAAATCTGGAATGGGGGGATTCATTCCCTGTCAGCTGATAAACTAACATTCTGTAGAGGCAGGCCTCGGTTCCTGCCGGAGCGCACCAGACCACCGCTCCGCCAGTCAGGAGCCCAGGGGGCGAGCATATAAGCCCTGCCCCCTGCTCCCACCAGCCATCAGTTGGGACACAGTGGGGGGGGGCGAAACGGGGGTGGTCTTGGACTCGTACAGGCAAATTCCACCTCTCACCTGTGATGTCCGAGCAGGCATTGCCGCTCGGACATCACAAGGAAGAGGTCATTCTGGCTCCCCCAGCTCTCAGGAGGGGCTCTTTAAAGAGTTATGGCTGCCGCCGCTGTTCTCCACGGCAGCTGCGATGCCTGCGCGGGAGGTGAGGGGCGAAACGTTCCCTTGCCTCCCTGAGCCCCAGGGGTGGTGGCCTTGGACTCGTAGGGGCAAATTCCACCTCTCGCGTGTGATGTCCGAGTGGCAACGCTTTTTAAAGAGGTCATTCTGGCTCCCCCAGCTCTCAGGAGGGGCTCTTTAAAAAGTTGTGGCCACCGCTGCCGCTGTTCTCAGCGGCAGCTGCGATGCCCGGGCCGGGGGAGGGGTGAGGCAAAATGTTCCCTGGCCTCACTGAGCCCCAGGGGGGTGGCCTTGGACTCATAGGGGCAAATTCCACCTCTTGCACGAGAGGTCATTCTGGCTCCCCCAGCTCTCAGGAGGGGCTCTTTAAAAAGTTATGGCCGCAGCTGCGACGCCCCACATGGGGGGCGGGGCGGGGCGAAACGTTCCTTTGCCTTGGACTCGTAGGGGCAAATTCCACCTTTCGCGTGTGATGTCCGAGTGGACATCACATGCGAGTTGTCATTCTGGCTCCCCCAGCTCTCAGGAGGGGCTCTTTAAAAAGTTATGGCCGCCGCCGTTCTCCATGGCAGCTGCGACGCCCGCGTGGGGGGGAGGGGAAAAACGTTCCTTTGCCTCCCTGAGCCCCGGGGTGGTAGCCTTGGACTCATAGGGGCAAATTCCACCTCTTGCACGAGAGGTCATTCTGGCTCCCCCAGCTGTCCTTAGGGGCTCTTTAAAAAGTTATGGCCCCCGCCGCTTTCTACATAACATCAGTGTTTTTTTGGGGGGGAGTGTTAATTTTGAAAGAAAATATTTGGGGTGAGGAAAGAGACTAGTATGAGAATAAGGGTTCGGGTTTGTTTCTGTCAAGGAGGAAATTGCAATAAGGATATTCAAATTGAACCAGCAGTTTTGGAAATGTGCCCTTATCCTTAGATTCGATGCTGGGTCCGTCTATCTATCTATCTATCTATCTATCTATCTATCTATCTATCTATCTATCTATCTATCTATCTATCTATCTATCTATCTATCTATCTATCATCTATCTATCGGTCTGTCGTCTGTCGTCTGTCGTCTGTCGTCTGTCGTCTGTCGTCTGTCGTCCGTCCATCCCGTCCATCCCGTCCATCTATCTATCTATTATCTTTTTCTTCTTCTCCTCCCCCCCCCCCCCTTTGTAAGTTTGGTGTCGTGGTTAAGTGTACGGACTCTAATCTGGGAGAACCGGGTTCGATTCCCCGCTCCTCCACTCGCAGCTGCTGGATGACCTTGGGGAAGCCATAGTTCTTTCAGAGGTGTTCTTGAAAAAGAGCAGTTTCTACCTCACAGGGTGTCTGTTGTGGGGAGGGGAAGGGAAGGGAGTGTGTGAGCCACTCTGAGACTCCAAGTGAAGGGTGGGGTATAAATCCAATCCCCTCCTCCTCCTCCTCATCTTTATTTATCTTTGAATTTATTATCTTTGAATTTATTTATCTTTGAATTCAGAATCTTACAGAGCTCTGGGGATAGTCTTCTTCTTCTTCTCCTCCTCCTCCTCCGCCCCTCACCTCCCTCCTCTCTTTTTCCCAGGCTGCCTTGTATGCTCGCCAGGAACTTAACATCCGCAGCACAGCTAACTTTCTCCTGGCCCTGTCTTCCCGCCTCCTGCCCTGCCGTCCACACCTGCGCCGCTATTTCAGCCACACCGTGCAGCTGCCCTCCGACTGGATGGAGGTGGCTCGGCTATACCAGGTGAGAGACGCCCCCCTTCCCCTCCCTTCCCCTCCCTCCCTCCCTTCCCTTCCCTTCCCTTCCTCTGCTCAGGCGTTGACTTTGTCCAGAGCCTTTGGGCAGGGAGTTCCACAGCTGACTCAAGAACCATAGCTCCCTCTTTGCTGCCTCCTTGTGGTCGGAGGGCACCATTTCCTCCCCTTTCTCTCCTCTGCAGAGCCTAGCAAAGACCGATACTCTGGCCCCTTTGCCTTCCTGCCTCCGTGCTGCAATGGCTGACAAATTCCGGCAGTTTGATGCATACCAGTTGGCCAAATACAACACCCAGAAGAGCCGTGGGAAAAAACGTCATCGGCCAAAGACCAAGAAGGTGCAGTCGGGGGCCTGTGAGCTTCTGTTGGAGACTCCCTTGTGCGGCGTTAGGTAGAGGCTGAAGGGATACAAATGTCATCTTTTCTCCCTGCCGCATGCGTTGGCTGTGCAGCTAGGAAATTATGGAATATGCATGGATATTCTAACTACTCAGGGGAAAGTGCTATGCAGTGGGACGTGCCTGCAGTGTAGGTTTTAGGCGGAGGAGCAGTCATTCCAGTTTGAAGAAAAAGGCTTGATTTTGGACTACAGACAGTAAGAGAGAAGGCAGGCAAAGGGGGATTTTGAACCATGAGAACAAAGAGTCTGTGGGTCTGACCTCCATCTGAAATAATTTCATTATACAGTGGAGCGAGAATGCCTGGTGAGTGAAATGGATTTGGGAAACAAGCTGATGATATACAAAGTTCCATCAGATGAGGGGGAAAATCAATCTAGTAGTTCTTCCAGCTGTTAGTAGAACCAGTCTTAAAATATGGCAGCAGTTGTTATGGAAATTCCACTTCCCTTGGTTTCTGGAGGTTAGAATTGGGGTGGTGGTGGTGTCTGTATTGAAATGCTCAATGCGCACTATTGGACAGAAGTGGGGAAACTTGGGTTCGTAGAGATGTGAAGGCCCGGAAAAACCCCGGGAAAATTCGGGGGAAAAAGTTTTTTTCCTGAAGCTTTTTTGTTTTTTTCCAAAAAATTGGAAAAATTGAAAAAAGAAAAGAAAAGAAATTGATTATGGAACGTTTTATTTTAACATGATTAATAAAATATTTTAAGACAAGGTGTTCAAATATTTTCCAAATCATTTCTAAAATATATATATATGGTATCAGATTGATCTAATTTCTGTGCACTGAGGACACGCAAGTCCTAGGTTACAAACTGAACTCTCCAATGCAAGAACAAGATGCATTTCTTCCTTTAGGAGGTGCGATTGTCAGAAGAAAATAAAAAGGTTTTAGTTGTGTTTTTGCATGTGGGTGGGTATTCTGTTTGTAATAATTGTTTGGATACACTATATTTTTAATATGCTAGTTGTGATAATTTCATGCCAAGTAAAAATGTCCATAGTCATATTTTATGTTCCTAAAGTAACAGAATGATTTTCAGTCTAGAAAAGACAAAAGAAATGCTAATGTAGCTTTCAATTTTTCCGAAAATTTCTGTTTTTTTTCCAAAAAAACCCATTAAAAAACCGGGGGTTTTCCTGAGCTTCAAAATTTCCGGAATTTTTACATCCCCAGCTGGTACAGGAAAGTAGCCTAACTCAAAGGGGCGTGAAATCCAGCCATGTTGGTCTGGAGCAGTACAACAAATGTAGAGTCCAGTCAGGCACCTTGAAGACCAACAAAGGTTTATTCAAGGTGTGAGCTTTCATGTGCACACACACTTCATCAAATACACTTAGCATGGCAAAAAGGTTCAAACTTATAGCCAGCAAATTATTAGACTATTATATCAGAATACTGAACCTATGCAAGGGATATTAGGACGTCTGCTGACATAGCAGCATTCTTTGGAGGGGGTGTGTGGGGTCAAGTGCCCTCCCCACCTGACAGGGGAGAATGAAGATTCCCAGTCACTTCCCACAATTAGAAAAGACACCTTTAGACATTTCTCTGCTAGCCTGACATATTTATTGCTTTACAACTTTTTTTTAATATAAGCATTTTATTAGGATATAATAAACATAATCAAATATACTTCACACAGTTTTAAACCACTACATCCTTCCCTCCCCCTACCCCCAATTCGGCTTCCCACAGTGCTCCAACCTCCGGCTCAGTTCTTAAATCAAGTTCACCTCCTCCTTTCATTTTCCTTACACACATCTATAGGTAACTTACCCTTCTATAATTTGGTATTACATCTTAGTCTAATTTTTAATATCTATTAACAATTAATAATTGTCAAAGCTAAATAAACCATCCCTTACATCATTGCTTTACAACTGTTGACCTTATAACCTTAACTTGTTATTTAGCGTCACTTTGCATATCTTGATCATCATCGTGTTAATTTGCCGGCTATAAGTTTGAACCTTTTTGCTGTTCTAAGTGTATTTGATGACGTGTGATTTGCACACAAAAGCCCATACCTCAAATAAACCTTTGTTGGTCTTCAAGGCTGCCACTGGACTCTACATTTGTTGTTCAAAGGGGTGTTGTGAGGATTAAAGTATCTCAGTGGAGGAAAGGTGGGCTAAGGATGCGGCAGGTGGGTTTGGAGACCCTGAAGATTATTCACCAGCCATTGTTGTGTTCTCAGAAGAAACAGGGATCGCTACGCCAGAATGACTGGAGAAAGCACGTGTTGGGTCGCAACAGGAACTTTGTGCAGAAGGTGACAGCTCTGGAAAAAAAGGTGAGTGCCACCTGGGAGAACGCAGGTAGGCATGGTTGGGGAGCCAAATCGATGACTGCGGGTTGATCGGGGTCAAGTTTGAGAGCCCCGGCAGGATAGATGCAACAGACTCTGGAGCGAGTCTGTGAGACACGAGCAGAGTGTAAACCTGAATCAATCCTCTCTGTCCAGAGGGGTGCTAGGAGATGGGGTTGCTTCCGAACCCCAAGCAGGAGAGAGAGGCATTGTGGGTAACTTGGAGCATGGCTCATCTGAGGGAGGTGTCAAACACGCATATTCTTTCAGCATCTTTTCACTTGTATTGGGGCCTTCTGGACATGACCCATGGATACTTCTTAGCAGGGCTTTTTTTGTGGAAAAAGCCCAGCAGGAACTCATTAGCATAATCGGCCACACCCAACAGCAGAAACTCATTAGCCTATTAGGCCACACCCCTGACAGCACAGCTCACTGGCATATCAGGCCACACCCCCATGTTACCAGAAGTGTGCTCATCCAGCCACACCCACCTTTCGCTTCTTATTCTGTTTACCTTGTTTGTTGTCAGAACCCAGGGCCTTTTTTTGTAGCAGGAACTCCTTTGCATGTTAGGCCACACACCCCGAGTGTAGCCAATCCGAATGAGTTTCTGCTGTTGGGTGTGGCCTATTATGCTAATGAGTTCCTGCTGGGCGTGGCCAACTTGGAAGCCAGCCGGAACTCTGTTCCTGTGTGTTCCTGCCCCAAAATAGCCCTGCTTAGTCTGCATTCTCATTCATTTCCTACAGCATCAGAAAGTCTTGGAGTCAGCCAAGGAACATGTGGCAACCCCCGGGAATCTTTTCTCTCTCAAGGCTTTGATCCGGCGCCTTCATATTTCTGAGCCGGCCCAGGATGTGATGAGTCTCCTGGGACGCAAGTGAGTGAAACCCCACCTTATGGCCAGACTTCAGCAGGCACAGCCCCTGCATGCTATGACACAACGGCCTCTTCCTGGCCGTTGCCATGACTGAGTTGGGGTGTCCCTGTATATATATCAGGGGTCATTTCGTAGAAAAAGAGGTGTAGGAGCTCATTCGCATAGCTCATTCGCATAACTTATTTGCATAGGCCACACCCCCTGACATCACCGGAAGTGTGTCAGAAGGCAACACCCACCGCTCAGGCTCCACTGGACTGTTTTGGATTGCTAGCTATTGGGGGGGGGGGGAACGTGCAGATCTGTCCTCACAGAGGAGGGAGAGCTTGTCCCTGAATAAAACTTGGTCTTAAAGGTGCCACTGGACTGTTTTGGACCGTGTGTGTGTGTGTGTGTGTGGCTCTGCAACTTACCTGGCTGCTTCTTGCTCTGACTGAGGGGCTGCTGGGAGCAGGGGGTGGGGCTTGTTGCATGTGCCCGCCCCCTGGTCTATTTACTGTCGGAGCTCTGCTCCTGTGCGCTCCTGCAGGAAACGACTCCTGATATATATACTTATACTGCATCCCGAGAATGTACTCTGAAGTGACTGATCACCTTTACTTTCTCTAGGTCTGCTCAGTTCACACTAAAAATTAGTCTCTTCGGGGTTTATATTTCTTGTGGACGGATTGAGGACAACTGCCAGATGTAGATGTTTATCAAAAAGTCAGGCACCAGTGCTTGTGAAAGGCAAACAGCACAGTTCTTTATTTCACAGAAAACTCAACAGGGGGGGTGGGATATTTTACTTCTGTATAGAATAAATACTTCACTGTGGAGTAACATAGGCTGTAGGCTTTTTCACAGATTGTCTTTAGTACACATAAACCATTTGTGATTCTACTCTCCAGTGTCTGACTGTGGTTAGCCTTTGGACTTTATTCGTCTGGTTCTCTGAGACTGACTGGCGCGACTACTGCAGCTTTTCCAGTCTCTTCCAGACCCTTAGTCCTTCCTATAACCACCTTACAAGTTCCCTTGGAGCAGTGTATATGGTGTTTTGTGACTACTGAGGAGTTATATTGTTTCTCCTCTCCATTCACTCTCCTCTCTCATTAGAGGGTACCAGTTAGGAGTGTTATTCAGCCCCAGTTTTCCTCAAACTGCCTGCGTCCTGTTTTACTCAGTTCCAGTCTCTTCCAGACCCTTAGTCCTTCCTATAACCACCTTACAAGTTCCCTTGGAGCAGTGTATATGGTGTTTTGTGACTACTGAGGAGTTATATTGTTTCTCCTCTCCATTCACTCTCCTCTCTCATAAGAGGGTACCAGTTAGGAGTGTTATTCAGCCCCAGTTTTCCTCAAACTGTTTGCGTCCTGTTTTACTCAGCTCCAGAAGCTCCTTTCCTCTCAAGAGCTCTTCAGCTAACTCTCCTCCAACCGACTCTGTCAACTGTCAGCTCTCAGCTGTTAACTGTTAACTGTCACTCATTGAGAATTCCGAGCAATCTTGCCCCCACCACTCTCAGTCATGTGACTCAGCAGCTTTCTTGTTTACCTGCTGCTGTTCACCAAACCTTTATTTCTATCACACATGCTTTAAAAGAAAAGGGCCTTTTGCTCTAACCATGAGGACTAGTGCTTTAGTGTTGAATTTTAAATTAAAGCTGCCACATTTCCATGGCAGGTCCAAGGTGGTTGCTTTAGTATATTCTAATTGCTGCCCCCTCCCACACGGACGTTCTGACTGCACTCGTAAGAACAATGTGGTTCTGTTCCCCTGACATTGCTGGGAAGAGCTGATCTCAGTCGTGTGACGACTCCTCAGTCCATCGAAATGTTTCAGATTAGCATAGCATGGGGACATACTGAGATTTAAGACATCGCTTGTGTGCGCTGACTGGAGATGATTTACTGCAGGGGTCCCCGACCTTTTCCGGCCTGCAGGCACCTTTGGAATCTTGACACAGTGTGTGCTGGATGCAACTGCAAAACAGCCACTGACAAACATGGAGCCAGCCACAAAACTGTTGTTGCAGCTTCCTGTCAGGCACACAGTGAAGGTCCTTGTGCTGTTTGGTGTAGAGGTTAAGCGCACGGACTCTAATCTGGGAGAACCAGGTTTGATTCTCCACTCCTCCTCCACATGCAGCTGCCGGTGTGACCTCGGGCCAGTCACAAGTTCTCTCAGAGCTGTTCTCTCAAGGGCAGTCCTCGAAAGAGCTCTCTCAGCCCCACCTACCTCACAGGGTGTCTGTTGTGAGGAGGGGAAGGGAAAGGGGTTTGTAAGTCGCTCTGAGACTCCTTAAGGTAGAGAAAAGTGGGGTATAAATCCAACCTCCTCCTCCTCCTCCTCTGCTGATAGCTGCTCCCGTAGTGACCAGTTCTCCGCAGGCCAATCAGAAGTCTTGCTAGGCAAGAGCCCCACCTGGCCCCACCCACTTTCTAAATACACTTGGCGGTCACCAGGAAAGATGTTGGTGGGCGCAAGGGCACCTTGTTGTGGAACCCTGCTTTATTGGAACAGGCAAAGATCAACCCCACCGGCTATACAACCCCGCCGGGCTCTGGTAGCCCATGAGAACTTGGCTTGGAGGTCCATCCAGTGGACGTCCGTTCCCCTTGCGTGCTCTCCTGACCCAAGCCCTTTTGTGCCGCCTCCCTCTGCAGGTACCCTTCAGACTTGCACACCTTCTCCCGAAGTCGCCTTCCGGGACCCTGGGACTCGGCACTGGCCGGCACCCGCATGAGACTTCCGAGACCACGCACTTGGGAGCGGGAGCTGAGCCAGCGGGGGAACACTGCTCAAGCCTGGGAAGAGCTGATCGGTACCCGAGAGTTCACTTCTTCTCGTGAAGCTTGACATCCCCCGATCCTAGACACCCAATAAAATCTGTGATCTTCCTTACAGATGCAGGGAAGCTGCCTTTCATGGCCATGCTGCGTAACCTTCGCAGCGTCCTGCGGGTCGGAGTGAGCGAAAGGCACCACCGACGCCTGCTGAGTCGTCTGGAGAACAAGGTGTGATCTGGGCTCGGTTTCAGGAATGGTGGATTCTAAATGTGTGGTAGAGACACAGGCCTGCATTAGGTCTGCTCCCCAGGGTTCCGTCACACAGTCACGTGACCAGGAAGTGGAGCCTAGGGTGAGGCCTATGCAGATGAATGGGAGGAGCTATGCAGACAGGGGTGGGCTCAGTTCTGAAGGGCTCCCATTGGATCCCGTGGGACAAGAGCTACCAGCTGTGGCCCGAGAAAGGGGCAAAAACTGGATTCTTGGTTAGGACAAGTGGGGTCAGCCATGGTGGGAGGCGAGCCGAGCTTCCAGCCCAGTGGATTCCATTTGTCGTCCCATCACTTTCTTCCATAGGAATGAATGGCTCACATTCACTCTCATGGTCACGTGCAGGCAGCGTTACAGATGCCACGAATTGCACCCCCCCCCCCAAGTGAGGGACATTCTAGCCTCTCTTTCCCCTCCCAACCCACCTGCCTTTCTTTGTCCCAGGAGTCCGTGATCCGCAGCAGGCAGCTCCCGTTCCGATTCCTCGCTGCCTACAAGGTCATCCAGCAGCTGGAGAAAGAGCTTGAACCCAAAGGTGAGGCCTGCGTCAATGCGGCTGTCCTGCGTGCTCAGAATTGCTCAAGGGGAGGCAAAGCTCGTTTGGCTCCTGGGCCCAGTTCAGAGTGCCGGTGTTGTCCTCTGCATATCCCTCAGCGCAGGGCTGGCATCAGCATACCTTGAAGTCAGGCAGGTGCCAGGTCGGGTCCTCTGCTGCTGACCCCCACCCACGCAGCTCCCCCCGCCACCGGTGCTCCCAACTGCCCAGCATCATTAAAGAAGGGCATGTGGGTGGTGCATGGTGGGGGCACTCCCGGTGGCGATGGCACCAGCTCTCCCAGCTGCATACACTGGCGCCGGTGCAGTTGGAGAAGGGGTGTGTGCAGGGAGTGCAGGCAATTGAGCACAGGCAGTGGGAGGGCTCGCAAGCGGTAGAAGGACTCCCAGTCCAAGTGGGGAGCACACAGGTGCTTGGGGTGGGAAAGAAAATGTTGGGGGGGAGCTGGTGGTGGGAGGGAAGGTATTGGCTGGATAGTAGGAAAAACTTTTTCATGGTCAGAGTGGCTCTAGGGAGGTGTGCCTAGGGAGGTGGTAAGCGCCCCTTCCCTGAGCGCCCCTTCCCTTCCCTGAGAGCTTTCAAGAAGAGGCTGGACGGATATTCGTCAGAGGTGCTTTAGGCTGGTCCTGCATTGGGAAGGGGGCTGGGCCAGATGGTCTGTGTGGCCCCTTCCAGCTCTATGGTTCTGTGATTCTGCCTTCCAAGGGCCCTCCGAAACATGGAGTCAGCCCTGCCTTGGTGTTCCGGAGCCAGGACATCTCAAGGATCACCTCTTTCCGTGTGAACCTGCCCAGGCAGTCGGTGCCTGATGTACTGTGGGGCCTTCTCCGTGGTGGCCGGAAGGCTTTGGATCTCCCTCCCTAGTGAGGCTCGCACTCCAGTTCAGTCCTGTGTATTCAGACTGCCAGTGGCTCTCCAGGGTGTCTGGCAGAGAAGCGCCTCTCCCACCACCTCCTGCTGGAGGTCTTTTAAGGGAAGGTGTCGGGTTCCGAACCCTGTTGGCCAGCTGCGGACAAACTGCAGTGCCGGATTTACGCATAAGCTAAATAAGCTACAGCTTAGGGCCTCGCAATCTGCTGGAGCCTTATTTGTCATTTTAAAACCCTTTAATTATGTAATTATTTCTGTGATTTTTGTAAACACATCCTTTATTATTATTTTTAATAAAAATTAAAAGACAATATATTTTCAAATATTAAAAAGGTGTATATATTTTAAATTTTTCTGAGACCAGCTGATGTAATTTAAAACAGTAGGGGGCCTCTGGGTTCTGTATAGCTTCAGGCCTCAGCAAGTCTAAATCCGGCCCTGGGACGAAGGAACAGCTCGGCTACAGAACCAAAGTCGTAGGTTAAGGCCGCTGTTTCCTGTCAGGCCTGTGAGGAAGCAGCTCTGGTTCTTAGTTTTTTTGCTTCTTCTTTTTGGTTCTGTGACCTGTGGTTGGTTTGTCAGTTCTGCTGAGCTGCTGTGTCTTGGCATGTCCACGATTGCAATAGTTGTTTTTCCTTTTTTAAAAAAAATCATTTTCATCTGTGAACTGCTTCTGTGTCTTTGTTGTTGGAAATAGTCTGTCAGCAAATGTAATTCCATGGGGGTGGTTTAAATTTGTTTGCTTAGAACCTGTGGGTTGTGATTTAATTTTTTAATTTTCTTAGAACTGTAATACAGCTATTAGCTAAACATATGATGTATGTACATTATTAGAAATAGTACAACCTTGTTTAACTATTTTAACTTAATTAAAACAAAGAGCATATCCCTTTGTAATCAACCAAAACGTACACAGGTTATTCCTAAAATTGTCTAAGCTAGGTTATTCATGTAGCTCATGGCTAATAACTGTTATGTGAACAATGTCATAGAACTGACATGGGATTGAAGCATGAAGTACAGTGGTATCTTGAAAACAGAATTCTAGAAAAGGAAACCATTCGACTATAGCATCTGATTGAGAAGATAACTCATCACTATCCGTAACACTTTCTTCATTTTGTCCAAAGCGTAGTTTTCCCACACTTTGGCATACCATTGGCTTATCTTTAATGAATTTTTATCTTTCCAATAATGTGCAATAATCAACTTGGCGGCTGTCAATAAAGTCGTTATTAGGTCTTTTCTCAGTTCCGGGATTTTTATACCTTGCCAACAATCTGATAAAATGTAGTTCCGGCTGATATGGAACAATATATCCTGTGATTTCTTTTATTTGGTGAAGAACCTGGGTCTGAAAGTTTTTAACAAATTTATACTCCCACCAATGATGTCTATAACTGCTGTAACCTATGGGTTATGGATTTTGATGGCGGCCAGTTTTTTTAAAATTAATTTTATTAACAAGTGTGATTAAGTACAAATACATATAGAACCATACACAACAATCAACTGCATTGGAAAGTTGTTACAGAGGGAAGTTACAAGCAAGTATAAACAACAAAAGCTTAACAAAGCTGAATAAGTATAAATTCATACAGAACCATATTCAGCAATCAACTGTATTAAAAAGTTGTTACAGAGAGAGGTTACTAACATATACATGGCGGCCAGTTTTTGTATCCTTGGCAGAATGGAGACATATTGCCATATTGTTTTGGGAGTATCTCCATTCTACAAAGGACGTGAGTTGCCCGCCGTCAAAATTCGTAATCTGCATGATCTAATGAATACATCGACAATACTCCCGGGTTTGAATCGTCTTCTTTTTTTAAATACATTTTTTATTCTTTTACATACAAGTACAATCAAATGCCTAAGAAGGGATGAACTCAAACACAGTACATTACATCTTACAAAAATGTATACATTATCAACATAATTGACCAGAGAGATCCCTAGTCATAGCCTTGGTGTGCATATTGGTTCTAATTTACTGATTCCCTTTTATGTGTATTCGGGACTTTAACACCCATATATGTTGCTGTGGACCGTACCGAGATGGTACATAACCCCAAAACAACTTAACAAAATCAGCAAATCCAATGACATCACATGCTGGAAGAAATGTGGTCAGATAGGCTCCTACATCCACTGTTGGTGGAGTTGTCCAAGGATCAACCAATTCTGGAAGGAGATAACTTTGCGCATACAGGAAATGACCAACCAAAGACTCTCCTTCACGCCTGAACTGATACTGCTGAATAAATGGGATGACTCCACGATGGAAGACAAGAGAAACCTCACATCACTACTACTAGCAACGGCTAAATTAACAATAGCCGTCCTGTGGAAATCTAGTCCTCCCACATTATCTTTGTGGCATGATAAACTCTGGGAACAATTTGTCATGGCCAAAATCAACAACCAAATCCAGGAGGCCCAGGCTTCCAGCGACACTACAGCTAGGAAATTTAGTCACCGATAGTGAATTATATGACGAAACATGAGATACTGCCCATAAATCACTAATATCATAGATGATTGTTCCTATAATGTGATGGGTACTCCTGTTAGCAGTATAGAGGATTGGGCCGGGTTTGAATCTTTAACCATCCTACAGAATGACACATGCTTCCTGTCTAAAGTGTGACAGTAAATGTTGCTTTGAAGAAATAACATAGTACCATGTGTTTAGGAAGCAGAGCAGTGGGAGAAACAGAGGCAAGAATGGGAGAACAGGATGATGATGAAGGGGATAAGTTGGCTGTGGATGAGCTTGTGAGAGGCAAAGGCTGTGAGAAGAGGTGGTACTACGAGATCCCCTCTGGGTTGTGAAGCTCAGTGGGTGACCTGTGACCTGTCAGCCCTCTTTCAGCCTCAGCTGCTTTGGGAGAAATGGGCATGCTGTTCTCAGCTGCTCAGAGTAAGGAACCGGATGTAAATGTACTGGATGTTGGGTGGCTTGACTGCTTGCAGTATGATCCGGGTGTGAAGGAACTTTGGGTTTATTTACAAAGGTGGCTGCGAGGGTGTTGGGGCAGACAGTGGGCTCACCGGCTGGCTTGAACGTGAATCTTTTTTGCTGAACAGAGAAACCCTTGCCTTCCAATGGAGAGATCGTTAAAAAGATCCTGATGGAGGCTGGAGTGTTGATCCCAGGAGTGACGAACAACTGTTGGACCCGTAAGGGTTTACGCCGCTGCATGGAAATCCCGGTTATCTTCCAGCTGGTGAAGTGCGAGAAGAGGAAACTGCTGAAGTCCAGGTAGCTGATGGAGTGGGGAGGGGAGGATTCCCACGTAGGGGCTTAGGTGTGTGGCAGGTCACATGTTTCACCTCTGGGCAGTCCCATCTTTGATCTCCCGGCACCTGAGGTCGTTAGTATTGGGAAAGACCCTGGAGAGCTGCAGCCATTTGAAGGAGGAGGAGGAAATTGGAATTGTACCCCGCCCTTCACTACCAAAGGAGTCTCAGAGCAGCTTACAAACTCCTTTCCCTTCCCCTCCCCTCCCCACAACAGACACCCTGGGAGGTAGGTGGGGCTGAGAGAGCTCTGACAGAAACTGCTCTTTTTTCAAGAATAGCTGTGCCAGAACTAGGGCTTGCCCAAGGTCATCCAGCAGGTGCAAGTGGAGGAGTGGGGTTTCAAACCCGGTTCTCCCAGATTAGAGTCCGCGCACTTAACCACGACACCAAACTGGAGGCAGCAGGACTCAGCTAGGTAGACTAATGGCATGGGGGTAGCTTCATCAGTTCAGCCAAAGCAATCAAAGGTCACTCTAGGCCAGCGTCCTGTTTTCAAGAGCAGCCCGTCCGCACTTGCACCAAGAGACAGCTATCCCCTGTCAGTCTCCTGCACGTGGAACTCATATTGCCTTTGAACATGGAGGCTTCTTTTAGCTAGCATTGCCGTCCTTCTGTGGATTCATCTGATTTTCTCAAAAATCCATCTGCAATGGGCACTTTCTTGGGGCGGTAAATTCCACAAGCTGATAATACGTTATTCACAAGAGCCTTGTGCATAATGGAAGCACGGTCCCTGCTTCACAGCCAATGAGCCAAAGCAGATGGTCAGTGGTGGGTTTTTAGAAATCTTTCATAGAATCATAGAGTGGGAAGGGTCCTCCAGAGTCATCTAGTCCGACCCCCTACACAATGCAGGAAATCCACAAATACTTCTCCCCCACACACACACCCAGTGATGCCTGTTCCATGCCCAGAAGATGACAAAAAACCTTCAGGATCCCCGGCCTGGAGAATAACTGCTTCCTGACCCCAAAGTGGTGATCAGCAGTTCACCGGGCGTGTAAGAAAGAGCCACAAGAACTAAGCACTGAGGCAGCCCTTCCTGGCCTTCCCCTCATGATCTGCCTCAGTTCACAGAATCAGCATGGCTGTCAGAGGGCCATCCAGCCTCTGCTTGAAAACCTCCAAAGAAGGAGAGCCCACCGCCTCCCGAGGAAGCCTGTTCCCCCGAGGAACCACTCTGTCAGGAAGTTTTTCCTAATGTTTACTGATGTTTATTCGAAAACTCTTTCGATTTAATTTCAACCCATTTGGTTCTGGTCTGACCTTCTGGGGCAACAGAAAGCAACTCCGTACCACCCTCTATATCAGGGGTGGCCAAACGGCAGCTCGGGAGCCGCACGCAGCTCTTTCACACAGTCTAATTTAATGTTAATAAAAGCAAATGTGCATATTTCCAATAAAAACGTGGGTGTCATATTTGTTCGGGTCTTGCGACTCTCAGACATCTGACGAGTGGCGTTTATTCTGCATGGCTGTTGCATTAAGCCAGTTTGGCCACCCCTGCTCTCTACGGCAGCCCTTCAAGCACTCGAAGATGGTCATATCTTGATATCACCTCTCAGTTGTCGCCTCTCCAGGCTAAACATACCCAGCTCCTTCAGCCTTTCCTCACAGGACTTGGTCTCCAGACCCCTCACCATCTTCGTTGTCCTCCCCTGGACACGTTCCAGCTTGACTATATCCCTCTTAAATTGGGGCACCCAAAACTGAACTGTTCAGTCGCACAGTTGAGTCCGACTCTTCGCGACCCCATGGATAAGATCTTGCCAGGCCCTCCTGTCTTCCGCTGTCCTCTGAAGTTTGCTCAATTTCATGTTCGTTGCATCTATGACACCGTCTAACCATCTCATCCTTTGCCGTCCCCGTCCTCTTTGACCTTCAGTCTTTCCCAGCATCAGGGTCTTATTCTCCAGGGAGTGCTCCCTTCTCATTGGGTGGCCAAAGTATTTGAGCTTCAGTTTCATTATCTGGCCTTCCAGGGAACAGTCAGGGTTGATTTCTTTTAGGATTGACTGATTTGATCTTTCAGTCCAAGGGACTCTCAAGAGGCTTCTCCACAATACTCTAGGTGAGGTCTAGCCAGAGCAGAGAGCGATACCATCACTTCGCGTGATCTGGACACTATACCTCTGTTGATACAGCCCAAAACCGCATTTGCCTTTTTAGCCCTCTTTCTTTTTCAGAAAACGGAATTACAGCCATGCCACCCTGCAGCGGTATCGTCAGGCACTGGAAACAGCCGTTGGCTTTGCCGTGCGGCACAACGTGCCCCCCATCCCTGGCCACACCCTCATCCTGATCTCCTGCCGCGAAGACATGAAGAAACCTTACATGCGGGCCCGGGGTCTCTGCTGCCCGACTGCTGAGCAGAAGGACAAAAACAAACCCATGACGGTGCATAAAAAGCCATGGGCCTCCTCTTGGTCTCCCACTGGTTTCCTATTATTTTATTGAGCTTTGATCCTCCCCTAAAAATTTCAAAAAAACACATCTATAGTGGCAAAACTGGTAACGTTTCGTAACTCCTTCCTGCTGCCTTGGCACTATGATTTCTTCGATGACATGGCAGATGGGTGGGTAACGTGACTTTGTCACTAGCAGGCAAAAGTGATCCCCCCCCCCAAACTAATTAAGCCTGGGAAATGCAGGACAAGTTTAGAGTGACTTCTTCCCCATTCCTCAAAGGGACCAGAGTTTTGTCTTTTGAACAAATGTTTCTGAAGAGAGATTGGATTTGTACCGCGTCCTTCACTACCTGAAGGAGTCTGAGTGGCTTACAGTCTCTGTTCCGTTCCCCTCCCCACAACAGACACCCTGTGAGGTAGGTGGGGCTGAGATAGGCCGGCGTCTGAGGCGCGCGTGCGTCACCCGGAAGTGACGTCGCACGCTGGGGGCGGGGCTACGCCCCCAGCGTGCGATGTCACTTCCGGGTGATGCGCACGCGGGGGTGGGGTTTCCCCCGGGCCCTGATTCCGTGGGAGCGGAAATCGGGGCTTGAAAGCGGGGGGAAATCCGCCCCCCGGGGGCATTTGGCAGCCCTAGGCTGAGAGAAAAGCTCTCTCGAGAACTGCTCGTGAGAGAACAGCTCTGAAATAACTTGTAACTGACCCAAGGTCACACCAGCAGCTGCATGTGGAGGAGTGGGGAATCAAACCCAGACTGGTTCTCCCAGGTTAGAGTCCGTGCTCTCCTAACCGCTACACTAAACTGGCTCTCTCTGCTTCTCTAGAAACTGGACGTGGCCTTTTTGCTGGGCTCCATGGTGTACTCTGCCTCTGAGCAGGCCCAGCTCCTCCTCTATGATCAGGGAACCGTCAGGGGTCCTGTCGCCATGACGGGAGCCGTGCTGAAGGATGTGCATCACCTGCAAACTCAGGTGAGACATTGGAAGGGGGGCCCCCTTTCCATCTGAGTTTTCCCCTTGGTAGCTGTCCGGAGTGCTCGATTCTCAAACATGGGAAATAATGAGGAGGAGGAGGAGGGGGCATGAGCATGAGCAAAGCGTGTTTTCCTTTTGTTATTAAGCGGTGGCTCAAGTGGTTAAGATGCTGAATTGCATACCAGAAGGTCAGTAGTTCAGCAGTTCAAGACCCGAGTGCTGCATGGCGGAGTGAGTGCCCGTCTCTGGCCCCAACTCCTGCCAACCTAGTAGTTTGAAAGCAAGAAATTGCAAGTAGATAAATAGGTACCACTTCAGTGGGAAGTTAAGAGCATTCTGTGCACCTCGGCGTCTAGTCATGCCGGCCACATGACCATGGAAACTGTCTTTAGACAGCGCTGGCTCTTCGGCTTGGAAACGGAGATGAGCACAGCATCCCAAGAGTCGGATTTGACTGGCTTTCGAGCAAGGGAAACTTTACCTTTATACTTAAAGTAAAATTGCAGCACCTCCAGAGCAGTGTTCCCTCTAAGCTGAGTTAGTGTGAGCTAGCTCGCAGCTTTTTAGCCTCCGGCTCACACAGTTTTGCCTCATCTCAGGAAAGATGGATCCAGAGCAAACTAATTTATGCAGTAGCCAAATCGGTTGCTCACAACTTTAATCTCAGGAAAGATGGATCCAGAGCAAACTAATTTATGCAGTAGCCAAATCGGTTGCTCACAACTTTAACTCCGGTAGCTCACAAAGTAGAATTTGTGCTCACAAGACTCCACAGCTTAGAGGGGGCATTGCTCCAGAGTTTGTGGGGAAAGGGTCAGCGGGTGTAACATGAATGAACACTTGAGGACCGAAGGCTGTCACTTCCCCCTTTGTTCTAGAATCTGCATAAAAAAGGGCCTTTCTGTGAACATGTGCAAAATGCATTTGTATAGTCCTTGATTGAAGTCAGCCAGTCAAGGTTTGGGGTTCAAGGGAAGGTCTTTGATGTACCTTTGGATTCACAATGGTTTCTGTTTAGAAGCTGAACCCCATTCCTCTGAGAGTGAGAGGGAGGGATGGAATGTTTGCACTACATACTTGTTCCGCCCTCTCATCGCTGCCCACCCACCCCCACCCCCCACACAAAAGATTCCTGGCACTTGTGCCTTGCCTTGTTGCAGATGCTAAGAAATCTGTTAGTAATTCCAGATGTTCCTCCCCCCCCATCACGAATCCCAGGGCTCCTTAGGGGGGGAGAAACAGCTGTCCAGCCAGTGTGTTTTGTCTTCAGGACAAGTGTACATTTCCTCCCTTCTCCCATTCTCTCCTTACAAGGCAGGTTGGCCTGCAAAACTATGCTGACCCTATGAAGTTTTGGAAGAGTCAGGATTTGTTCGAAACTGTTTCCGTCCCACTGAATTTAAAAAAGGAACCAGAAGAGATTTTTTTGGAATAGATGGGGAATAGTGTATGATTGGCTAAAGATAGAGAAAAGTTAGTCATTAAGGAATGGAATGCTAGTAGCGGATATTGGATGTAGGATGAATTTACTTTTAGATCAATTTTTATTCTTTACCGAAAAATGTTAATCATAAAGACTTTGCTTTGCTATGTATATGAGATATATGTCGAATTTGTGTCTACATTTTAATTGTACTGTATATTGGAAAATGTAAACTACAAGGATTATGCAATGTTATGCAAAAGGAAAATGGAAAATAAATTTATAAAAAAAAAGAGGAAGCATCAGGATTTGAACCTGGCCCCAGTCTGATGTTTAGACACCACACAACACTGGCTGCAGATACAATGTGAGAGAGGAGAAAGAGGGACACGTGTACCAATCCCCTCTCCCCAAAAAACTAGGTCTGAGAAGGTGAAAGATTATTAAAATGCCACTGGCCTGCTCTCCTGTTCTCCCCAGGAGTTTGTATTCCCCTTCGGCAGGTTGGCATGGATTCTTGAGCTGTGTCTCTTTGGGCAGGAAGTGTTTAGCTAAGCCTTCTCCCTAAAATGCTGGTTTTCTGTGGGCGATTCTGCATCTAGCGTTTGCTTCACATTTTCTCAGCTGGGAGGAAAAAGTGCAGCTCAAACCACGTTCAGACATCTCGGGGCAACACTGTACTGACTGCGAAGTCACCCCTGAACAGCCATAAATCTATGCAGAAGGTACCATAAGATCCGATGATCAAAGGAAGTGAAAGCGGCATGCAATGCAGAGGGGAATTTCTGTTCCGACCTGGGTTTTGTAAAACTACAGAGGGAAAAGCCAGTGCAGAATCAGCCCGTGTCTGGGAGAGACTTCCAACCCCGTTTCCTCTCTTGCCTTCTACTACGGGGAACGTTCAAATGGGCATGTGTCTATACCTGCCGCAGGTGAAGCTTACATCCCTTGGTTCAGCTGATCACATCAGTTGGCCCCAAGGATGCGAACCAAGGCGGAATAGCCTTGTTCTTGGGGTGTGTCTATGTCCACTGACATTGTAGCTTGTTTGCGCTCGCCTGTGCACGAAGGTATTTCAGCCCCCCTGCATGAAAACTCCTTGCATGCTTCCTGTCGCTACATGCGTTCCTTGAGTGGCTGCTCACTTCCTGTCTGTTCCTCCTGCACCTAGGAGATTCAGTACAGCCCCGATGGATGTATTTGTGTCGGTGATATCATCAGGGACCTCACTTCTCGACGCCAGCAAGTGAGTCCGGGGCACCTGGTAAAATTACAAATGAGCCAATCCCTGAAGGTCCTGCTGTTTATATTACTGTACTTGTGCATCTGTAAGCAAATGAACGTGCAGGCCAGTGATGGTGAACCTTTTAGAGACCCAGTGCCCAAACTGCGACCCAAAACCCACGTATTTATCGCAAAGTGCCAACACGGCAATTTAACCTGAAAGGTTTTACTTTAGAAAAAAACCCTCAAACATTAACTTAAGATGGTCCAAACAAAGTAAGGAAAGCAATCCCAAATGCTTTCATTTATTTAAGATTTTTTGGCAGAGAATTCGACACTTTAATGATGGTCTGGGCCTGGCTGGGGCGATGGCACACGTGCCCACAAAGAGGGCTCCGAGTGCCACCTCTGGCACCCGTGCCATAGGTTCGCCACCATGTAGGCCATCTCTCACCCTTGCCGCGGGTGTGTGTGTGTGTTATTTCTCCTGAGAAGTCTAATTTACTTGAATGATTGCAAGTCCAGAACCAGAGCTGGGCTGTTGGCAGGGGGGGAGATGGTGCGATTGTTTCCCAAGATCTGTGGTCAACTGTGGTCAGGGAGGGGCCGTGGCTCCAAGGGTAGAGCATCTGCTTGGCATGCAGAAGGTCCCAGATCCAATCCCAGGCATCTCTGGTTCAAAAGGGTCAGGTAAAAGGTGGTAAGAAAGGCCTTTGCCAGAGACCCTGCAGAGCTGCTGCCAGTAGACAATACTGACCTTGGTGGACTAATGGTCTGACTAAGTATAAGGCAGCGTCCTGCATTTGTATTCAGGCTGCCTATCTCTGATTAACTGTGCGTGGGGACCGACAACAAAAGCGGAATATTTCTGCCTTCGCACACCATCTCTGAACTTCCCGGAGGTATCTGACGAGCCCATTTTGCCACCTGAATAGTGGCCAGGGTGGGGAGTCCCGTCCAGCAATGGTGTTTCTTAGCTGGATAGGATCGATTGGTGCAGAGTATGCACAAAGCTGCGCTCTTTGGTGGGCGGTGCTGTAGACAGATCCTCATAACCCGTGTATGATGGTAGCCTCAGAGAGCCTCCGGCAGGGATTACGGCTGTGAACGGTCATTAGCTTAGCAAAGGCAGTTGATGAGTACTATATTTGCAGGTTACCAAGGCAGGCCTCATAGGAGTAGACTCGCTCGAGGATGAGTCTCACGCTCCAAGAACACTAAAGCTTGTTTGAGCAAAGCAGTGCTGAATTCAGTGTTCCCTCTAAGCCGAGTTAGTGTGAGCTAGCTCACAGTTTTTTAGCCTCTGGCTCACACATTTCTGTCTCAGCTCAGGAAGGAATGGCTCCAGGGCAAACTAATTTTTGCAGCAGCCAAATTGCCCGCTCACAACTTTAATGCCAGTAGCTCACAAAGCAGAATGTTTGCTCACAAGACTCCACAGTTTAGAGGGAACACTGGTGCTGATGACCCCCTTTGTTTTCCTTCTGTCTCCAGGTGGACAGGATTCTCTTGCTGAGCCAACATGGCGAGTTCCTAACCAATGACAAATGCCTCTGGCTCTATCGCCGTCATGTGGCACCCCACTTCCTCTTAATCAACGTCTGCTCCGGCATCCCGTATGTAGAAAAAGCAGTCAGTTTTTCTAGCTTGGAAAAATAGCCAGGTTGTGGGGGCTAGAGCATTTTTATTATTATTCTAAATAAATAGGGTGGGTGGGTAGAATGCCCAATATCTTTACTGAATTCCCACCTGTGTTCTCCCCCCTCCCCCCTTCCAATTTCAGAGACCTAAAGTGTTTTGAATCTAGTGTGGAGGTAGTGACGGGTGGATTCAACGAGCAGGTCCTCAGGTGAGTTCCGGGCTTGGTGATGGGACTGCGTAAAAGCAAGCCAACCTTCTTGTGTCACATAGTTCTCAGATATGAGGATTATTATCAACAAAGTCTTTCCTCAACGGCCACTGATGGCTCAGTTTCTTTGAGTGAGCATTGATGGCACATTGTGGTTACTAGGGTTGGCTTTGAAGCATTGGAGAAGGGGCGGGGGTTGAATGCCCGACATCTTTGCTGAATTCTCACCAACCTTCTCCTCCACCCTTCCAATTTCAGCCCGCTTAGGAGTTCTGATTTTGCCATGCAGGTAGTGATGGGTGGATTCAACGAGCAGGTCCTCAGGTGAGTTCTGGGCCAGGTGATGGAATGGCATAAAAGCAAGCAAACCTGCTTGACACATAGTTCTCAAATATGAGGATTGTTATCAATAAAGTCTTTCCTCCAGGGGTCATTTCATAGAAAAAGAGGCGCAGGAGCTCATTAGCATAACTCATTAGCACAACTTATTTGCATATGCCACACCCCCTGACATCACTGGAAGTGTGTCAGAAGGCAACACCCACTGCTCAGGCTCCACTGGACTGTTTTGGATTGCTAGCTATTGGGGGGAGGGGACGTGCAGATCTGTCCTCACAGAGGAGGGAGAGCTTGTACCTGAACAAAACTTGGTCTTAAAGGTGCCACTGGACTGTTTTGGACTGGGGGGGCCGGGGGGAGCTCTGCAACCTACCTGGCTGCTTCTTCCTCTGACTGAGGGCTGCTGGGAGCAGGGGGTGGGGCTTGTTGCATGTGCCCACCCCCTGGGCTCTTTACTGCCGGAGCTCCGCTCCTGTGCGCTCCTGCAGGAAATGACCCCTGCTTTCCTCAGTGTCCACTGATGGCTCAGTTTCTTTTAGTGAGCACTGATGGCACTTGGTGGTTGCCAGGATCAGCTTTGTAGCATTGGCGAAGAGATCACCAGAAGAAGCAATAAGAACCCGTTTCAGCTAACAAGGAATACCCAGAATTATAAGCTTCCATGTTTGGCAGGTTCATGGCTGAATGTGGCAGTTCCCGGTTCCTTGAGCACGTTGGGAAGATTGACGAGATCCATGGCCTACTGGAGCCACGGAGGGCAGTGATGGCAAAACCGGAAGCAGGAGGTGAACCCTTGATATCCGCTCCCAAAAGCAGGTGATGATGACGAGAAGATGGCAGTAGGTTGATTTGTGGCAGGGTGTCTCAGCTCTGACCTTTTCCCCTCGTACCCTCTCCCTCAGGTGGCGCTCGGTAAAAGTGTTTGTCTCTTCCACCTTCCGGGACATGCACGGGGAACGCGACCTGCTTATCCGCTCCGTCTTCCCTGAATTACGAGCCCGTGCAGCCCAATTCTGCCTGACAATAGAGGACATTGACCTGCGCTGGGGGATCACTGAACAGGAGGCCCAGAGAAACAAGTATGAAGGAAGGAGAGACTGGTGTACCAGTCGTGTGTGTGTGTGTGTGTGACTGAGTAAAAGAAGAGACTTGAGCAGCCGGAGCAGAACTGGCTGCGGAACATGACAGAATGTGTTCGTGTATCCAGGAGGCAGACTGTACCTCACAAGGGTTCCAAATTGGAGTCTATTCACTCACGCTGGTTCTTTTAAAGTTTTTGGTTATATGAGAACATAAGAGATGCCAATGTTGGATCAGGCCAAATGCCCATCCAGTCCAACACTCTGTATCACACAGTGGCCAGAAATACCAGTGCCATCAGGAGGTCCACCAGTGGGGCCAGGACATTAGAAGCCCTCCCACTGTTGGCCCCTCCCAAGCACCAAGATGACAGAGCATCACTTGCTCCAGTTCATGTCCCCAAGACCACACAGTTTAATGCCAGATGGCATATTCAGAACAATGGCTATCCAGTCTTTTTATACTCCTAATCTCTAATGGAATTTTTTACTTTCTTTATTACTTAATGGCCTAGTTACCCTTTTTAAATGGATATTAAGAAAGGGTAACTAGGCTATTAAGTAATAAAGAAACGCAGAGACCTACTGTCATATACAGCTAAATACTGAGAGGAAGAAGTGAAGGATTCTGAGAGTGTTTTCGAGCCCACTGGCCTGATTTTTATTTGTGTGGCTCAGCCTCCGGAAAATACCTCCAGGACATGAGTGGGACGGCAAGAGGTGGCGTATTTTCAGTAATGATTGTCATCTTTCTAGGCAGCTGGAACTCTGCTTGTCAGAAGTTGCACGAAGCCACCTGTTCATTGGGATCCTTGGTGAGCGGTACGGCCACATCCCTAGAGAGTATTCATTACCGGATGAGCCTCATTATGAGTGGGTAAGCGAGAGGCACTTTCGACTCTGCTAGGCAGCCAGTTTCAGGAGAACTCCATGGTATTGGAATTCAAGAGTGCCAAGCAGAAGCTCAAAAAGGGGTAGTCTGGAGACCCACGCATATAAGGGGCTTCCTGTTTTTAGGCATGAATCAAAACGGAGAATTATGTGAAATGTGTTTTGTGACAGGAGGAACGTCTCTCTCTCTGTGTTGCCTGTTTTCCTGTAGCGAGCTTTGTTAGTTGATGGCTGCTAGTTACAGGAGAGCACTGTTAGACGTGTAAAATGCTTCTCTTGTCTGGAGGAACTCTGTTATATTACTCCATCAATGGACATAGTTGTACTGATGTAGCTTCCCCAGGAGGCACAGAAGGGGGTCCAGCAGGGCAGGTCACAGGCAAGATTGCTGAGAGTAACCAAAGCCCAGTCCAAAAGTCAAGGGTTCCAGAGAGCAGGTTTACCGAAGTCCAGTCTGAGGTCAAGGCATTCCAGGCAGCAAGTCAAAGTGCAGTCCGAGGTCAGGGGTTCCAGAAAAGCCGGTTGTCAGGTCCAGTTCAAGGTTGCAGAGGTCCGGTAGCGGCATGGTTGGTGGCTCAGTAGCAAAGTATGCGCGTTACGTCCACAAACTGCTGCTTCTCCTGGCTGAATTTATAGCTAATGAGCTAAACTCCCAGCCAATTCCTTGGCAGTCATCCTGAAACTACTGATTCGTCTCTTCAATTGACAGCTGACGACGGGCCATGAGTCTCGCACTCATGTTGAGTGAGCTAGGTGGGCTGGGAGTGGCTTCTGAAGACTTGTTTACTGCTTCAGAGCAACAAGGTGTTGGCTCAGTTTCAGCTATAGACTGTGACTCCTAATCTCTTCTTGTTCTCCTTCTGGCTCAGAGCCAGCTGCTCGATTACCAACTGAGGGCTAGCAAGTAGCTCTTCGTCTGAAAAATCTGAGCCATCAGTCAGCACTGGCTGACTTATGACAATAATGGTTTTTAAAGAGAACCAAAAACAGTCCCTCCCCTTGGAGTTTTCAGTCAAGTTTCCAACAGTAACTGAAGTTGATAAAGGGACAGGCACGGTTAGCAGAACTAAACCTAGAACTGCTCTCACAGAACCGCTGCCTCAGGAGGCTGTTTAGAGGTGTCTAAATGAATGGATTTGGGTTGTCTCCGCAGCTGAAGTCATACCCGGCAGGCCGCTCCATCACAGAGCTGGAGGCTGTTCAGTTCCTGAACGGTTACAAGGATCCATCAGCCAAGTCCAGGGCCTTCTTCTATCTCCGAGAACCAGACTTCCTTGGGTAGCATGTTTATCTTCACATACTCTCCCTGCCCTACAATGTAGATCCTTGTCAATTATTCACCTGCCCCTAACACAAGGGTGTGCTGGATGACCTGGATGGTCCAGATCTCGGAAGCTAACAGGGTTAGTCCCTGGTTAGTACTTGGATAGGAGACCATCAAGGAAGTCCAAGGTGCAGAGGCAGAGGCACCTCTGTTCATCTCTTGCCTTGGAAACTTCACGCCGTTGTCGTGAGTCAGCTGAAACTTGACAGCACTTTCCATCACCCCCAATACAAGGGTGTGTGTGGGGTTTTTTTTTTAAAAAAACAACCTTCATTATTCTTCTGTCCTAGTTTTATATTGGGGCTCCCATTGGGGCCCGTCCATCCATGTTTTTGATCAGGTCCATCTTGAACTGTGGATCTTGGCACATGTCTTTTAATTGGAAATGTCTTTCGATTTTAAAAGCTTCTTTAGAGGAGTTTCAGTTTAAGAAGAGTACCTTAACCCTAGCGCAACAACCTAGGGAGCCTTGACCTTAACCAGAATGATGTGTGATTTTGCACTGTCACCAGGGTCGGGCATTATGACGTGCCAGTAATGTACTATGGAAGTAGAAGAAGAAGAGGTTGGATTTATACCCCGCCCTTCACTTGGAGTCTCAGAGCGGCTTACAAACTCCTTTCCCTTCCCCTCCCCACAACAGACACCCTGTGAGGGCGGTGGGGCTGAGAGCACTCTGGCACAAACTGCTCTTTTTCAGGGACAGCTGTGCCAGAGCTTGTGACTGACCCAAGGTCACATCAGCAGGTGCAAGTGGAGGACTGGGGAATCAAACCCGGTTCTCTCAGATTAGAGTCCGCGCACTTAACCACTACACCAAACTGGCTCAATGTTTTAACCGAGTTTAAGTAAATTTAGCTGTAAATCCTTACCAGGAAATTAATTGCTTATCTGTTTTGAATTGTATTGTATAAATGCCAAGAGATTTTAATGTGTTAAGATAATGCCACTGTCTTCAATTAGATGATTTTTTTATTATTTTCTGTCTTTGCAGAATTGATCTGTGGCAATTTTTTTAGATTATAACTGAAAAGGAGATTTTTGCCCTGATCACTCCCCAGTGTCACCATTTCTTGCTGTGATTACTACATTTTGTAGTAACGAGTTATGTGATTTTTGTAATAAATTTTTAAAAAGCTTCTGTGGGAAAGAGCCAGTGCATCTGAGAAGTGGGGTATAAGTATGTCAAATAAATAAATGGATTCTCTGGATTCTATACCCAATGTTTAGATACAGGATAAATAAATAAATTTCAGAATGGTGGATTATGCACAGTCCTGGCTATAGGAGTGGTCCTGGGGATTGGGTGCATGCTGGTGACTCAACAAACTGGGATCCTGGCTACTTGTCTTGGACGAAAGCAATGCCTGCGTAGCCCAGGGATGCAAGAAATATTCTCCTCTACCACCATTTTCCAAATCCTTCCAGTCCCCCAGGTTTTTTTAAGATGAGGCAAATCCCATCAAAGCACCCAAATTCTTTGAAGACATAGATCTTGAAAGCAAACTCCAACAAAATCTGGACTTTTTTTTCTTTTTAAAAATTTAAATTTTGATTAATAGGAAAATTTTACAACACTTAGTTTATTTCATCACAGTGAAAAACTGTCTATGCTCCATTGGTTACAACAGTGTAATGTAGAAGCTATAACAAAACATAATCCAAATAAATCAAGAGAAGGGGGGGAAATTTTCAACACAGGACCTAACAGGTTTATCCAACAAACTGGCATCTGCAATTGGATCCATCTTGAATTATTTATTCGAATCCCGTCCAGAAAGAATTTATAAAATATCCGACTAATTGGGTCTCAGTACATTGAAATAATTCGTAAATTTTCAAAAAGTTCCAAAATGCTTTGTAGACACAAACATAATGCAAAACCAGAACAGTTATTAGAGATACAATTATATACAAATTTCAGCAATAAAATACTAATTTCTCATCCTTGAAAACAAGGGACCAAAGCTCTCAGCATTACTAGTGTTAGATTGTTCCAAACCTGGGAAATCAGGATGTTTTCTAGTGCCAAACTGTGGCTAGCGGTTCTAGGGTGTGTTTGTGTGTGTAAAGTGCTCTCAAGTTGCAGCTGACTTATGGTGACCACAGAGGGTTTTCTAGGCAAGAGACGTTTAGTGGTGGGTTTGCCACTGCCTGCCTCTGCATAGCGACCAAGGACTTCTTTGGTGTTCACCCATCCAGATACTCTGCAGGGCTCTTTTTGTAGCAAGAACTCCTTTGCATATTAGGTGACACACCCCTAATGTAGCCAATCCTCCAAGAGCTTACAGTAGCCCCTGTAAGAAAGAGCTCTGTAAGCTCTTGGAGGATTGGCTACATTAGGGGTGTGTGGCCTAATATGCAAAGGAGTTCCTGCTACAAAAAGGAGCCCAACCAGGGTTGACCCTGCTTAGTTTTTGCGATCCGACAGACTTGGACTAGCCTTGGGCCGTCTAGGTCAGGACATCCTGTTCTTTTAACGGTTCTTAATTTTTTATCCAGTACTGCCCATTGAACACACAGCAACTTTATTGGTAAACACAAATCGGGACATTAAAGACTAGCAGTCCAAAGAAGGCAACTTCATCTAGGACAGTGGAGTATATTTCTTTTTTGCTGGGATTTCCCCCCCCCCCGCCCCCGTAAGGAGGAAGGGGACATTTCTGCTTAGTTCTTGTTTGTTGTGAGCCACTTTTTTAAAGGGCCTGGGCAGACATCTAGGTTCTAGAATTCTGTCCTCAGGGTGGGGTAAGCAGTATAAAACAGCTTTCCCCCACTGGCTATTAGAAGCCATTGCAAGTGGGGAGAAAGAACCACCTAAAATTTGAAATGCTCCCCATTTGACCCCAAAAGCTCTGAATGCTCCCCTCCTCCAAATTTGTAGGTTGCCCCTATTAAGAATCACCAACTTATACCCTTTTGCTCCCATTTCTCTCTTGGCAGGTCGGTACCTGAAGCGTGGAGGGCAGACTTTGCAGCTGAGTCAGAAGAGGCTAAGGACCGGATGGTGGATCTGAAGGAGCGTCTTGAAAAGCACGAGGCTCTGGCCTCGGTTGGCAGGTAAAGGGGAAGAGAAGTCAGCGGCTGCAGTGAGGGAACTTCCTTTCTTCCCTCTAGCCAGCAACATCTGTGCTGTTCCCTCTCCCTTCGTAGGTACGCATGTCAGTGGGGTGGAGTAGCCCAGGGCCGGCCCTATGTCAAAGGTCTTGAGGAATTTGGTGCCAAAATCTTGCGGGATTTGTGGGAAAGCCTCTTTCACCATTTTATACAGGTAAGTGCTGGGTACACTAATTTTAAAACAGCAGCACAGACTTCCAGTTAGTTTTTCGGTTGAATTCAGAGTGCTGTTTTGGAACTCTACAAGCGGGATAATTTGAGAACTGCTGCCTAACTATGACACATGCTGAAGGTGTGTGTGTGTCTGTCTATCTAGTACTGCTCATATGGCTATCACCGTAAGCAGAAATTAGAACCAAAAATATTTAAAAAGACCTTACTCAGTATTATTTCTCTTGTATTTGATTATTGTGCCTATGAATCTCGCCACTGACCATTGGTATCCAATAGTAGTCATGACACCTGGGCTTGTGCATTTAGCAATTCCATATCTTTAAGTAAAGGGGTGACTAAATTAGCCCTCAACTCATCAAATATAGGGCACTCCATAATCATATGTCCAATAGTTCCGATTGTATCATATGAGCATCTGCATGTTCTGTTAGAGTATGATACTCTATTATACCTGCCCTCCAAAACTGCTAATGGAAGACCATTCAGTCTTGCCAAAGTAAAAACTCTTTCTTAGTTTTGGGACTGTCAATTGATAAAAATATTTTGGCAGTTGCATCAAGAAGGCAATTCCCAGATGGAGTGTCAAACAAACCCTGCGCGGCCATCCAACTTCCTTACACATTTTAAAATTTGTCTTATAATGTCTTTAGTTTCTGTATTCTTTCTTAATCATATCATTTGTTACTCCTAGGCATTTCATTTTCTTTTCCAACAGTTGGAGTTGTCAACAGAGGTTCTGTTTTGCATTCCCTTACCACTGTGTGGTGTGCAGCACATTCTTGGTGGTAGTACCAAAGCTACAGATTTCTTTTCCTAGAGAGACCCATTAATTAGCTAGCATTTAACTGACTGAGCGATAGCCCTCCACCCACTTCCCATTTTGTGGCACTCAAGAACCTGAATAACTTTTACAGAATAATTTTTCTTTAAATCTCTGCATTTTGAAGCTATATACCATCACTATCTATGTGGAGCTGTGGTGGCTCAAGTGGTTAAGACGCTGAACTGCAGGCTGTGGAAGGTCAGTAGTTCAGCAGTTCGAGACCCGGGTGCCGCATGATGGAGTGAGCTCCCATCTCTGGCCCCAGCTCCTGCCAGCCTAGCAGTTCGAAAGCAAGAAATTGCAAGTAGATAAATAGGTACCACTTCAGTGGGAAGGTAACAGCATTCCGTGCGCCTTGGTGTTTAGTCATGCCGGCCACATGACCACGGAAACATCTTCGGACAGCGCTGGCTCTTCGGCTTTGAAACGGAGATGAGCACCGCAACATATATATATATATAATGTCTGTCCCATCTCCATCGCTGTGTTCCCAGGGAGACGGTTCCAAGGTCAACGGTGAGTCGGAGGAGCCAGAAGAAAGTATCTTGCAGGAGTCTTTCCAAGAGTTGCAGCAGAAGAGATTCTGTGCCCGGGCAAAGCTTCTCCGTGCCACAGCTGCCCAGCTGTGCGGAGGCAGCATCTGTGTTGTGAGCAGCGAATGCGGGCAAGGGAAGACCGTCTTCTTGGTGAGCACAAGGGTCCCACCTGAGAAATAGGAGAGAGAGAAACAGTGCTGGAGCCGTATCGTGGGAGCGCAGTAATTTTACTAGCAACGTCATCCTGATCTGTTCTGGCCCATTAATTGCGGGGGTTTTTTGAGAGCTGCTTTAGTGTGCTGGCTAAGGAACTGAGGTGGGGGGGCCCCAGTTCAAATCTCATTGCTGCTAGCAACATTGTTTAAAAATCTGCCTGATGAGGACTGAGCCTGCCCCCAGAGGCATTGGCTATGGTGTATCAGGCCTCTCATGGTGTACTGGAGGGGGAGATTTGAGTGTCCGTGCAGGGAATTTCTAAATGGCTTATCCCCCTCACCTCCATATTCCCCATGGATCCCCAGCTTGTTCCTTTAAACAGAAAACAACAGGATTGTGTACTGATCATGAAGACAGAAAAGGGGGGGTTGGGGCTTCCACGGAATACGTTGGGTTTTTTACATTCTTGGGAGATTCCTTACAGGTGCAGTAGAATATATAGTTTGCAAAAGTTTTTGAAAGTCCCTCTCCCCCAAGTCCTGATGGGGACTGAGTGTATGCCTTGTCCTTGGAATGTCAAGAGTTAGTTAAAGAGAGAGATAAATAAAGGGGATTGGAAAACTAGCCTGCTTGATTTCTTCCCTAAATGCTAACAGGTTTCTGGAGAGGGAGATGGGGGGAGAGGTATTCCTCACCTGTAATGCTTTATGGCCTCTGCACCTGCAGATATATTGACCTAACGTTTACATGGTTGTTATGAGGATGACTGAGGTGATTTATGGGAGGAATTTTGGGTACTCGGTGTGGTATAGTGGTTAAGAGTGGCAGACTCTGATCTGGAGAACCAGGTTTGAATCTGCACTCCTCCACATGAAACCTGCTGGGTGACCTTGAGCCAGTCACAGTTCTCTCAGAACTCTCTCAGCCCAATCCTGCCTCATCAGGTGACTGTTCTGGGGAAAGGAAGGTGATTGTAAGCTGTTTTGCGAATCCTTAGGGTTAGAGAAAAGCGTGGTATAAAAAGACAGCTTCTCCTTCAACTCAAAAACCAGCATGCCAATGTTGTTTAGTGTTAGATCTTTATCTTGGCATTCCTCCTAGAAAATTTAGGTCCCTTCTGCGTTTGCCTGCCACTCCAAACTTTCTCAGTGTTCAAGTTGGGGCGATTTAAGTCCGCAGCATCCAAAAAACCCCAGGGCAACAAGGGGCTGAAAATGAGCAGACCACTGAAGGGAGGTAATGTGATGTAGAGTGGGGGGAAAAACAGAATTAAAAGAAGGTTGGATTCAATTGTAGTGCCGAATGGAAAAAGAAACAGAATAAAAAGAGGGTTGACTTCGATTTTCGTGCAGAATTGCTTGGAATACACCATGGCAAATACAGATTAAAAGGAGAATGTAGAAGGGGCCCTAGTGAGGCCATCCCGGTGGGATTTGTTTGCATGAACAGAGGCAAATCAGGTTAAGTATCTCCAAAGGCCTCCAGGGGGACTTTCCAGAACCTTTTAAGAAAAAGTGTGAGCAGAATGAAAGAGGAGGAGTCTGTATACCAGTCACCCCCTCTTCCCCTACTTCCCCCGGATAACGATGTATGAAATCATATGATGATACCCCACAATCCTTGCTGTTTCTCTATGGGACGAGAAGCCATGTTGTCTGGAAACGAATTTGCCTTGCTCCTTTTAATGCTTATATCAGTGATGGCGAACCTTTTAGAGACCGCGTGCCCAAACTGCAACCCAAAACCCACTTATTTATCGCAAAGTGCCAACACGGCAATTTAACCTGAATACTGAGGTTTTACTTTAGAAAAAACAACTTAAGATGATCCAAACAAAGTAAGGAAAGCAATCCCAAATGCTTTCATTGACTTAAAATTATTTGGCAGAGAATTCGATACTTTAATGATGGTCTGGGCCTGGCTGGGGTGATGCAGAGAGGGCTCTGAGTGCCACCTCTGGCACCCGTGCCATAGGTTCGCCACCACTGGCTTATATGAACCAAGAGGGCAAGGGTGGTATTCCTCTTTAAAGAGGAATCTGTACTCTTATTCTTTCCCCTCTCCTCCTGTGTGTTACTGAGGTAACAGTTTGTCTGAATGGGGTTTCCGTCACAAATGGGGAGTTGCACCACAGTGGCCTGGCTGTGGCCACCCGAGGAGTGCTCACTGATGGGGGGGGGGCTGAGGTTGGAGCCTGAGGGCGACAGCGGCTCCCAGCTTGCCTGGCTTGGCTTGCTACACCCCACCAGCTTTTTCCTTCTCTCCCCCGCAGGCAGCCCTGGCCCAGGAGCTCCGAGCAAAGGCCCCGCGCCACGGAGACCCCGCTCCCGCTTACCACGTTGTGGCTCACTTCACGCGGGCCCGGCCCGATCAGGCCAACGTCCAGGTCGTGTTAGGACGGCTTTGTGCCCTGCTGAGGAAGCTGGTGAAGCAGCCGCCGGCGGATACCTCCAGATGGAGTCAGGGGGAGAAAGCAGATTCTTATATGCACAGCGGAGAAGGAGGACAGTGGGAAATGGTTGTTTTCTCACAGGGTAAAGGTAAGTGCTGTACTTTAAAAAGCAACAGCAACAGCTAATTCAGTTCATTGCACTGTTCACCCATGAGTTGACACCTGCTTAGAAATGGGTGTTCTGGCTAGTTAAATGCTGGTCAGCCATTAGTAAGTTTAGGTGCGCTGTATAGTGTTTCTTAAGCTGTATATGTGTTCAGGTTGATGGTACAGACCTCCTTCGCTTTGTCCCCGCCCACCCCCTTTAAAAACAGTTGCAAAACTGTCCCAGCTGTATGTGTGACATCACAGGCCTTACCCACAGCTGCCCTGTGCTGCTGGTTTTTCCCCGGTTCCATGCTGGAAACGCGCAGTCTCCGTTTTTTGTTTTCTGGAGTTCAGTCCGGGAGAGGAGGAAGTAACCTTTGCATTGGATGCAGCACGGGTGCTTTAATTGCACTGAGAAAACGTCTGAAGCGTCTAAGAATACAAAATAGGAGTCTTATTTCTGGGGGGCAGGGGGGTCCCCCTTGGTGAGTTTGCATGTTGTGCCCCTGACTGGGGAAGCTCCATGGCCACACGCATTGTCCTCTTGCCAAAAGACGGCTGGTGTTTCTTGCAGGGGGCTGGTGGTCCAGTTCAACTCCCTCCTCCATTCTGTGGGCCAGTCGCTGAAGCATCGGCAGACTCTGGCGGTTCTGATCGACGGTGCTGACCTCATCCATGCAGCCGGTGGGCAGCCCGTCTCTGACTGGCTGCCTGAACAGCTGCCCCAGGTGAGCCCCGGCGACGTCTTCCAGGCAGGCTTCCAAGGACTTAGTCATTTCATTTGGTTACGTTATTCATAGTCCACCTGCTGTCAGGAAAGGTCCCATTTCTCATATGTTGGTGGCAGCCAAGGCTTCAGTGTCTAGGCACTGGCAAAGTAGTATACAATCCTTATCGAATATGTGGTTCAATAAGTTATGGGAATACCTGGTCATGGACAAAATATCCGATGCTATTTCCTTGGCGGAGAATCTGGACTGTCATTCAGATTATTTGGAGCGTCGGTTCTCTTTTCTTGACTATATGGAAGAACATACTAAGCTTCAAAAGGCACTTCCTGATAATTTGAAGGTTATAGCTATACAAGAGGGGGACCCGCGATACTCGAGGGGGGGGCAGTCTCTCTCTTTCCTCCGTTCTCTCTCTTCCCCCCAGTCTCTCTCTCTCTCTGTCTCTCTCTCACCCCTTTTCTCTCTTCCCCCCAGGCTCTCTCTCTCCCCCCGTTCTCTCTCTTCGCCCCACAGTCTCTCTCTCCCCCCCTTTTCTCTCTTCCCCCCAGTCTCTCTCTTCCCCCCCAGTCTCTGTCTCTCTTTCCCCCCCTTCTCTCTCTTTCCCCCAGTCTCTCTCTCTCTCCCCCTTCTCTCTCTTCCCCCCAGTCTCTCTCTC